GGGAGGAGGGGCGGGGGGGGGATCCGGGGGGCTGATTGCCGGAGGAGTGGGGGGATCTTGGCCACGGATTGGCTGGGGAGTGCTGTAGGGTTTGGGGAGATCCTGAGCACCCATTGGCTGGGGAGTGCTGTGGGTCCATGGGGGATCCTGGGCTCTGATTGGGTGGCAGTGCTGCAAGTCTGTGCGGGATCCTGGATGCTGAGTGGCTGGGGAGTGCAGTGGATCCATGGGGGACCCTGAACTCTGATTGGCTGGGGAATGTAGTAGGTCCATGGGGGATCCTGAGCTCTGATTGGCTGGGGAGTGCAGTGGATCCATGGGGGACCCTGAACTCTGATTGGCTGGGGAATGTAGTAGGTCCATGGGGGATCCTGAGCTCTGATTGGCTGGGGAGTGCAGTGGATCCATGGGGGACCCTGAACTCTGATTGGCTGGGGAATGTAGTAGGTCCATGGGGGATCCTGAGCTCTGATTGGCTGGGCAGCGCAGCAGGTCGGTGGGGCAGTGGGGGAGCTGCAGAGCCTCTGCCCAGCCGCCCCCAGAGCCCTGGGGGACTGAGGTGCTTGTCCTGCCCGCGCTCCTCTGCGAGCCCCCCACCCCTTCCTACCCCTCTGCGGGGTCCACGGGCCGCATCCCCCCCGGCCGCCATCCCAGCCCACGTGTCAGCGGCACTCACCTCCAGCCTTGAGGGTGGCGTAGGCAGCGTAGGCAGGGGACGGCAGGGCCAGGCTGCTGGCCAGTGGCAGACGCTTGCCGTGGCCCTGGGGCCGGCCCCGGGGGGGGGGAACGACCACCGCGGTGGTCCAGGGGGGCTTTTTCAGCCGCGGGCAGCGCCCGCCCCCTGCCTTTATTCATCCAAGGGAACTTATTTTTCCCCACCGCGCCAGCGCCTTACCTGTGCCGTTCCTGGGGGGCCCCCGGGCCAGCCCCTCGCCCAGCGGGACCTGTACGCCCCCCATGAGGCCATCCATGTGCTCGGAGGGGCCATGGCCCGGCTGCTTCAGCAGGTCCGTCAGCGTCCTGGGGAGGGGGCGAAGGGCCATTAGGGCGATACCCCACTCCCCCGGCCCCACCAATGCATCCCAGCCCTGAACCTCCCTCTTTAGAGGCAGAGACAGGCAGCCTGGGGCTAGGCAATGGCCGCTGGCAGCAAGGAGTGCACCCAGGCCCCCAACCCAGCTTTTGCACGGGGCCTGGCGAGACCCCCCCAATAGCGAATTGGGGTCTGGCTGGGGCTGAGCCCTCCCGGGGCCGGCAGCATCAGCAGGTGAGGGTGGCGAGGGAGATGCATGGCTCAGAGCAGGCTGCACAGGTATGACAAACCGAGCCAGAGGAACCCAAACTCCCGGCGGCTGGAACAACACCTCGGGGATGCTCCCCAGGAGCGAGAGCCTGGTAGACAGGGGGAGAAGAGGCAACATCTCAACTCATCCCTTCAAAGCCGAGAAAACCCTGAGGAAGGGATTAGAGGCTGCTTGTGCCTCTTTGGGGAGGAGGATGAACTAGCGGCGGCCTCTGGCGCACGCGCTGTCCATGCATAACACCATCCTTGTAAGTAACAGCATTAAATGTTAAACACCATTACATAAGATAAAGCCCTATTTCGTTTAACATTCATGGACAGAGATGCTGCAGTCCCACCGCGGCACACCAGTGGTGCTGGAGCAGGGCATGGTGGCAGTGCCAGAGCAGGACACACCGGCGGTGCCGGAGCAGGGCACACCAGCGATGCTGGAGCGGGGTACACTGGCCATGCTGGAGTAGGGCACAGCCGTGGTGCCAGAGCAGAGCACGCTGGCCATGCTGGAGCAGGGCACACCAGCGATGCTGGAGCGTGGCATGCCCACGCAGCTTTGCAGCCTTCAGCAGCAAGTCCCGGGGCAGGACAGGATGCTCCTGCTGGCATGGAGCTTCGTGATGAGGAGACCCGCCATTCCCCCTGAAGAGACCAGGCCCACATGACTGCAAGGGTGCAGGGGTGTCCAGCTGGGGCTTTTTTTGGGTCCCTAATCCCTGGCTCACTGTCAGCACGCCTCACTCCTCGAAGGCTCTGGTTGGCTCATAGATGCACACTGGGAGCTGCGGCAGGAGCTCATGGTTAGCAAATGGCTGGACGATAAAACAGCAGATTAAACTCAATGTGCATAAATGCAAATTAGAGGGGAAGGGAGGAATAATCCTGACTTGGTGGATGTGTCAGCTCATGGCTCTGGAGTGCTCAAAAGCCCAGTGAACCCAGTGCAGGGAATTGCCAGGGAAAGCAGCGAGAACAACGGGGAAAGCAATGCGTTATGCTCAGGGGTGCGGATGCTCGGGGGGGCCCGAGGGCTGTTCCCAGGACATTTTGCCTCCCAGTTTGGATCCAGCCAACATCACAGGGCAATGGCAAGAGCAAAGCTACAAGGGAGGGTCACTTGCCCTTTGGGTTCATTTCACATCATTCTTGGGAAGCTCTGGGTAACAACCCCCCTGGGATCATTTAATCTCCAACTGGGCCAACAGGACCCTCATGGAGCCAAACAAATTGAAATGAGGGAGGAAGAACCCCTGGCGCCAGTATCTACTGGGGGGCTGACCAGCTGGAAGGCAGCTTGGCGGAAAAGGACCTGAGGATCCTGGTGGACACCAAGTTGACCACAAGCCAGCAATGTGTCCTTGGGACAAAGGCGGGGAATGGTCTCCTAGGCTGCATTAGGCAAAGCGTTGCCAGCAGGTCCAAGGGAGGTGATCCTTCCCCTCCGCTCGGCACCGGTGAGGCCACACCTGAAGTGCTGACTCCAGCTCTGGGCTCCCCCGTACAGGAGAGACATGGACATACTAGAGAGAGTCCAGCAAAAGGGCCACGAAGATGATGAAGGGACTGGAGCGTCTCTCCTATGAGGAGAGGCTGAGAGAGCTGGGGCTGTTCAGCCTGGAGAAGGCTCAGGGGGATCTTATCAATGTACGTGAAGATGTGAAGGGAGGGTGCAATGAGGGCAGCACCAGGCTGACAAGAGGTGACGGGGCAAACTGAAACACAGGAAATTCTGTTTGAACAGAAGAAACAACCTTTTTTCCTGTGAGGATGGTCAAACACTGGACCAGGCTGCACGGGGAGGCTGTGACACCTCCACCCTGCAGCTATTTAAACCCCGCACCTCCCCAGGAGCCCTCCTGCAGCCGACTGACCCCAGCTCCGGGCCCAGCCAGGCTCCTTTGGCCATGGGTGCTGCACCCAGAGAAGCTCTGGGCACAAGCCTGGGTGGGCGGTGGGCTGTGCCCACGCAGGGCGGGGGGGGGTGCAAGTCCCCCGAGGCCGTGGGCACAGACTGTCAACCCGGGGAGCTGCTGTCCCATCAGCTCCCACCTTCCCTGGGGTGCACAGCTCGCCGGCCCCCTCCCCACTGGCCATTGCCTGCTCTCGCCTGTCCCCGGGGCCCAGTGCTCAAACAGGCTTGTTTCACTAGGAAGTTCAATGTGATTTGACCTATTTTTTTTATTTTTTTTTCCCTCGGGTCTATTTATGAAGCTTGAGCAATCCTTTATCTGTGACTTCCTCTCCAGATAAATCCATCAGTGCTCTTTCTCATAAGCCTGCCCTCCGCACGGACCGCCCGGGGTGTGTGGATGTTAACAATTAACAATAATGGCACGAGCAGCTCTTAACGAGCTGTTTCACTGAGGTGAGAAGCATGCACGAGCCCTTAGCACCAGCAACACCCGGACTCACCCCTGCCCCTTGCACCACGAGCCATGCCGCCGGCCAGGGCTGCCAGCAGGGCCCCCGGGGGCTGCACACCCTTCCCTCTTCCCGTCCCCAGGCGGTGCAGTGCAGGGGAGGTGGACCTGGAGGGTGACACCGTGCTGAGGAGCTGCTGTCTCCCCGTACGTGTTTTTGGGGGTTTTATGAGCCCCAGCCTGGTGCCATGGCTGGGGGGCTTGGGGAAGGTCAGGCCACATCTCCCTAGGTCACCTGGCAGTCTGTGGCACCAAGACGGCTCCAGGGTGCACATGGAGGTGGGGAACACACGGCAGATGCGGCTTTAAACCTGCACTGCCTGTCTGCAATGAAACACACGGATGCTGAGCGCATGAGGCCATGTGTGAAGGTCGCTTGCCACCCGGCTTGCCTGAGCACAGACTCGCCTGCACGGGCGTGCAGCCACCTCTGTGGCAAGCCTGGTCATGCCAATGGGTGCAACCAAGGTCCCCCAAACCAGCTTGGCGCGAGCCCTGAGACCAAGCGAAGAGGCAGATCCAGCAGTAGTGATGACGGAGGCCAAGACAGCTCCACAGCAGGAGCTGGCATGTAGTGCTCAGTGCTCCTGAGACATCCCTGGGGGAGCCACGGTGCATGAAATGGAGGTGCCCGTGTGGGAGCGGGACCCAGGGCCTGGCAGAGCACCCCAGCCCAGGGGCTGACCTGCTTTTGGGAGGCCCAAGCCCCACACCCAGCAGGCCCAACAGGAGAGTGGCTGCAAGTCCTGGGCAAGGGGACAGGGAGCGATGGGAGGAGACAGGAGCACAGCCACCAGAGGAGAGGAGAGATGACGGATTGATGGGTGAAGTGACTTTGCCCCGAGCTGAAGTGAACCCTTGGAGGGGTCGCAGAAGGTGGCAGCCGCCAGCCGAGTGGGGTGGTGAGGTTTGGAGCAGAGGTGCGGTGGTGGAGGAGACACAGAGCACACCGTGACTGGCACCCTGCCGGCCATGCCACCTCTGCCCTCAGCGAGAGTGTCACCTTCACCTCCCGGGGGGGACATTTCCCATGGCTTACAGTGCATCTGCTCGGGGCAGGGGGTGCCTGTCCATGCAACCAAGCAGCATGGGCACCACGGGACACCCGCCTGGCAAGGGTGGGACACTCAGGGATGCTCAGGAAGGCTTGCGGGTAGCAAGGTGCCTTTGCAAAACTGCAGTTGCAGCAGGGGGTAACGGAGCTTGGGCAAAGCATTGGGTGGTGGGAGTAAGCCTGCCTGGCTGGACATCGCGTCCAGTCCAGGGACAGGAGTCCAGGTCTCCCTCCCTACTGGAGCTGGGTCCCCTCTCTCAATCCCCCAGAGAGCCAGGGTGGCATGTGACGGCTCATCATGCTGCCTGCAAACACCTTTTCTAGGTCTTTGCCACCACCTGCTACCGTGGGCATCGACCACAGGCATGGCCACGGACTGAAACATTGCCAGAGAAACACCCGGCACAGTCAGATGCACAGTGGGGCCGGGTTTTGGGACCCCAGATAGCATGGGGGGACCCAGAGCGTGAAAAGCCAGCATCAGGGGCTTGGCTACTGTGGCTGCCAGGGCACCTGCTCCCTGGGTGGGCTCTCTTGCCCCTCTCCAGCATCCCCACTGCCCCCCAGGAGGCTGCTCCTTGCCCAACTCTTCCCATAGGGATGTTCACCCCAGCCAAAACCTGCAATCTCCCTCCCCAGGAGGTTTCGGGGAGAGGTCTGGGGTGTGTGCCTGGTCTCCTGCGATGGGCACAGCCAGATCCTGGTGGCCCCCAAGGAGCCAACGTCCCTGGAGATCCAGGGCCTGAAGAAAAACACAGGCAGGTGTTCCTGACTCAACGCGGGGTTTGGCCAGGCTGAGCGAGTGCCGGGGACGAGTGCCAAGCGTGAGCTGAGCAGAAAGGACAGGGGTTTGCGGGAGCTGCCATAAGGCCCAGCGGGAGGAAAGCGGATGGGAAAGGGAGGACACACCAGATAGCTGCAGCCCCTTGGGCACCTGCTCGCCTGGGTGGACCAGCAGCTAAAGCCAGGAGAAGAAGCTGTGTTGGAGGCAGACAAGGTGTGGGGGTCTCAGGATAAGCTGGATGAGGGCTCAGGTGTCTCCATCTGGGAGGAGCTAGTGGGGTTTCTGCACCTGGTTGCTCTTCCTGGGCTTGGACCAGGATGAAGACCATGATGAACGATATCTGGAGGTGCAGAAGTGGTTGCCCTCCCCCCCACCAAATGGGAAGCCTGCAAGCAGCAGTGGCGGGAGCCGTCCCAGGGCAGCAGGAGTGCTCCCCAGAAGCGGAAAAACCCTGGTGGGAGGGAGGGATGGGCATGGAAACCAAGCCGGCCGTGCAACAGGGAGCTGGCCCGAGGCCATGATGCGGTGCCTGAGGAGCAAATGAGAAGCTCCTACCTGAGGCGCAGGGAGGGAGGCGAGGTGGCACTGCCCATGCCTTGGGCCGTGTGTGGGTACAGGGGCGAGGCAGCCAGAAATAGCCTCGCTCTCTCGGAGGCACCGCGACGAAACGTATTGCCTGGGCCCACAGTGGGATGGAGGTGACAGCGTCCCTTTTTGGATGCCTGTGCTATGTACCCAGCCCCTGGCACTGTCTCCATCAGCCCAGCACCTGAGAGGCTGTGCCAGCCTGGTGCCTTGCCTGGTGCCCAGGGCTCTGCATCCGACGCACCACTCCCGCCCTGCCATGGCTTTCCGGTCACCATCCCTGTGGAACCGGAGCTGCTCATGGCTTATGCAGAAGGACACGGGGCACGGGAGATGGTGAGACCTCTCCCGACTTCTGCAGTGATGGAGGTGCCCTTCTGATTTTGTCCCACAAAGGCAGGCGAGGAAAACTTGCCTTCTCCTGGTCCGTATGCCAGTGCTCAAAACATCTGTGGCTTTGGGGAGAAAAGGCACCGATCTCCCTGAACTCATCAGGGAAGTTCAGACTTGCATGAGTGAGAGGGAGGGGGGACATGGGGAAACGCATGGCTCTGGCGGCACAGAATTGAGGCTACCCGCAGAAAACACCCCCCCCCCCGGGGGGGGGGGGGGGCCCCCCGGGCGGGGGGGGGGGGGGGGGGGGAGTGGCAGCAGTCCCGCTGGCAGCTGGTGATGGGAGAAGGCAAGACCTGCTGTCAGGGGATGAGGACCCAGGTCCGGGTGTCCTGGGAGCCGACCCCTCCCCAAGCACAGTATCTCCTTCCCAGGAGGTGGCAGGGGAGACCAAAAACAGACACGGCGGCGGGTGAGTGGAAGGGGAGTCGGGAGGCAGGGAGGCTGGCGGAGGCCGTATTGATCCTGTCAAGGTGCCAGCGCTTCCTCAGGCAATGCGGGGGGGGGGGGGGGGCGGCTCGCAGCAGCACCCAGCCGGGCTCCCCGCCAAGGGGAGGGCGCAGCATGGATCCCCCCAAAACTGCCTCACACAGCTCAGGAGGGCCCTGTGACCCCCATCCATGCCCGGATACGACCTTCCTCCAAGCAGGGGGGTCAGCCTCTGCTCCCCCAGGTGCCCAGGTGGGTGCAAGGAGTGGGGTGGGTCTGGGGATGGGGTGCAGCAGGTCCGGAGTTGGGGTGCAGCACCCAATGACTGCCCAAGCCCCAGGCGGGCAGGTGGAGGCGGGCGCCCCAGGGGAAGGAGAGAGGGCATCTGTGCTGAGGGGTGCAATCAAGGCAGCTCACTGATCATCCCAGTGAAATAATTTCCTCCGGCCCTGCCTTTTTTTCTTTTAAAGCTAAAATCCCTGAACAAAATGGCATAAAAATGGGTTTATCGCCAGGCTTGATGTCCTCAATGGGAAGAAGCGAAGGAGAGCGTGCAGCCCGCTGCTCAGTGAGGTACTGGATTCGGCTCAGCCCTCGGCCCCTCTCTCCGCCCCTGCAGCCCTTGCTGGGTCCCCCCTCCATCCCTCCCCCTTCGATTCGGGGCACCCATGGCACGACCATGGCATAACCACCTTGGTCAACCTGCCCCAGCTCCAGTCCTCTGTGTGTGTGTGCACACGCATGTGCACACGTGTGCATCGCGTGTGCACCCGGGGGAGGCTGAGGAGGGACAGCTCTGAGTCAGAGCCGCAGGGGCAGAGCTGCGCTGGGGAGGCTGGAGCTGCCGGCAGCCGCCCCGAAGTGTTAAACTCATTGAATGTGATCGGTTAAAAAAAAAAAAAAAGAAATTAAAAAAAAGGAGGGAGAAGAAAAACCTACCTAAGTGGAGGAGCTGTGCAACATGACAGCGAGGGGAAAGCGAGGCAGTGGAGCCATGGCTGGGGGTGGGGGCCCCAGCCCCGCCCCCCCCTCCCCGCCGCGAGGGGAGAGCGAGGCAGTGGAGCCATGGCTGGGGCTGGGGCCACCAGCCCTGCCCTCCCTTGCCTGCACGTCCTGCCTTGCCCTGCCACGCCCTGCCCCACCCTGCCTGGCCTTGCCCCTCCCCACCCCAGGCCAGGGGGGTCACCTGCCCCTCCTGCCTGTCCCCATGTGCCCCAGGGTCGGGCACACGACCCTGCTGCCCCCAGGGAAGCTGGCGGTGCACCCTGCAGGGCTGAGGTCGGGCCGCTCGTGACACCTCAGTGCTGGGAGCCGGTGGGAGGCCGTGTGGCAAGGGGCGGGGGGGGGCAAAAAACAGGACAAGAAGCATGTATCTGGAGCCAGGACTGGGGAGGAAGGGAGAGGGGAAGATGCACTGACGGCCACGGGAGATGGGCAGGAGCGGGGGGAGGCGCAGGGGGTGCCCAACGCCGAAGTGTGCCTGACACCCCGACCTTCCCCCTGCCAGCCCCGTGCTCAGCCCCAGGAGTGGCTGAAAAGCCAGGGGCTGGAGCCGCAGGGCGGGGGGGCCGGGGGGAGGCTGCCCAACTTTCTGCTGGAGGCTGAGCCCCAGGGCGTGTGCAGCCCGGTCACCTCCTGCAAGGGTGATGTCCCACCCCGGCGCAGAGAGGCAGGCACCTGTGCACACCCATGCACACACACACACACGTGTGCACACACACACCGAGGAGGCGCAGCAGCCACGGCAGAGCTATCTTTGCCGTCTCCTCTCCCCCCGCACTGCCAGAGAGGCTGAGCCCAAGGGGACTGCGGTCCCGAGTCACCCCATGCACAGCCGGACCCGGTCTTGCCTCCCTCACACACTGGGAAGCACAGCTTTGTTTGGGGGTGGGGGTGGGGGGGGAAGCCACGTCCTATAGCTCCCATGTCACCCACCCCACTGGCCAGTGGGGATGGCTCTCCTGAGCCTGGGACAGGCCTCCTCAAGGGACGGAGCAGGTCATTTTGAGAGGGGACAGGTGTACAATCACCCCTTCTCATGGAGGCTGTCCTGGCTGGCAGTCCTCCCTGCCAAGGACAGGTTGGGGGGCTGCAACCAACCCACCCCCCTGGTGTCTCTGCATGCCAGGATGGGGGTTTTGGGGATCACCTCACCCTCTTGGCAGCCCCAGGGTGAAGCCGGGGCTCACCCTACGCAAGGGGATGTGGGCTACCACCCACGGGGGGACCGAGCAGGGTGGGACACACACACACACACTGGACCCCTTTACCTGGAGACGGTCATCTCCGTCTGGGGACCCTGCGCCTTCTCCAGGCCCAGCTTGGTGAAGATGCCCACCAGCACCATGATGGCCACCACGCCGCAGATGATGTAGACGATCATGTTGGTCTTGTCGCGAGTGGGGTCCTCGGGGGTCTCGTCCACCCGGGTGGGCGGCTGGCCCGTGTTGACCCAATTGGGGGTGTCGTAGTTGGA